ATCCCCGAGGGGTCCCACTCAAGCTCCCCCTCCGACTCCACTATGGAAAGAGGAGCATCAGGGCAGCAGCCAGGGCCATCCTCGGGGACAAGGGCCTCGGGAGCCGTGGGGAGCTGAGCTGAGAGCTCAGGGGCCGCGGGGAGCTCAGGGGCCGCGGGGAGAGCGGCGGCATCAGGCGGGGCCGCGGGAAGAGCGGCGGCCTCGGGCACGCGGCCGGCAGGGGGGCGCAGCAGGCGCCACAGGCACCGGACCAACAGGGGGCGCAGCAGGCGCCGGACCAACAGGGGGCGCAGCAGGCGCCTCAGGCTCCGGGCCAACAGGGGGCAGTACAGGGATCTCTGGGGGTTGAGCATGGGCCGCGGGCGCCGTAGCAGCAGCAGCAGGGGACTGAGCTGGGAGCTCTGGAGTCACGGGGAGCACTGGAGTCCCTGCTGTGCGCTGGGAGAATCCCCACCCGATTCTCCACCCGGCGGTGTTCGCGGGTGACATCACCGCCGCTGCGCTGCCTAAGCCCGCAGCCTGCCCCTTCACCGGGACGCGCCTGGCCCTTAAAGGGGCCAGGTCCATTAGGGACGCTATCCCGCTAGTTCCGCGATTTCGGACGCGGGCAGCGCCCCCCGTGGTTCCTGAGGCGGCACCGCCCCCCATTGTTCCTGAGGCTGCAGCGCCTCCCGTTGTTCCTGAGGCTGCAGCGCCCCCCCGCGGTTCCTGAGGCTGCAGCTGCCTCCCCAGTGGCTCCCCTGCCTGCAGCTCTGCCCCCTGTGATGCCCCCTGCTGGTGCTGAGCCTGTGGTGTCCCCTGCGGCACCCCCAGAGATGCCTGTGTCCCCTGCTGCAGCTGCCATGGCACCTGAGGTGCCAGCCGTGGCGCCCCCTGCTGGCCGCACGCCCGAGGTCCACGTGCCATCCCCTGCTCCTGCGCCGCCCATCCAGACTCCAGTGCTCCCTGTGACTCCAGTGCTCTTTTTTGCAGTATGTAAATATTTCATGCCTAGCAGACAGAGAAAGTTTGTTACAGTAGAGTATAGTAAATCTGCAGTAAAACTATACTGAGTGTTTTACTGTAAGAGAAAACAAGGAGCCATGTTTTATTGTAATGTATAAATACATGATAAATAAATCACAAATGCAACAGTAATTCAGTGGACTTTATTTTTTTTGTCCACACAGTGCAATATCTGCTGTATTACCACCCCCCCCCAAAAAAAAAAGAAAAAAAATATAATCAATTACACCAACAAAAAATAGTCCTGTCTATCAATGGCTCAGAACGTAGAACTGTTGGACTGGTCTAATCCATTCTGTCCTCAGCATTTGGCTATAGATTTTCGTCAACATCACATCAGATGTTGTCCTCCTCCAAAGACCTAGGAAAGAATCTCTTCGAGTGTCCTATCCAGCCCTGGATATCCTCTGCAGTTATGTCAATACACCCAGCCACCATTGCCTCTAGTAATGACACATGGTCATGTGGGCGGTGGTCATACACTTTCCATCTCCATGCAGAAAAAAAATTCCTCAATTGGGTTGAGGAAAGGTGAGTAGGGTGGCAGGAATAATGGCATCATCCTGCGTGGTCTGTAAACCATGCAGTGACCTGTCCAGAGTGATGAAAGGCCACATTGTCCCATATAATCACATAGGTTGGTAAATTTTGCCTTACTTCATCTCTTGGGGCAGTAAGTTTTTCCCACAGTTCATCAAGGAAAGTAAGCACACATAGTGATGTTAGCGCCCCTCTGGCCTGGAGCATCAATGGTGGCTCTTCTTCCTATGACATTCCTTCTATGGCGGCGGTATTTTGCCAACATGAAGGCAGCCTCATTCACAAAGATGAACAGATGCTCCATCTCACTCACCTCGAGCTCCATAACTCTCTTCAGTAAATTAGAGAACACACAAGGTCACAAATTGCATAATTTACTATGTTGTGCAAAGAGTAAATGTCTGTGTGTGCTGTATCAGTCAAACTCACCTGGACGTATTGATGCCTGAGTTCCTTGACACGTTCCGAGTTTCTTTCAAATGGGACAGTGTACATCCTGCTTCATCCACACTCTCGCAATAGTTGTTGTGCTAACAGTGTTGATGTTGGCAAATATGTTGTTATCGCCAATAATGTTGTCGCGGATTTCTCTCAGCCTTATACTGTTATTGGCGATCACCATCTTCACCACAACATCCTCCTGCTGCGGTGTGAAAATTCTTCCTCTCCCTCCTGTGGGAGGTAAACGCTGGATCCTACAATAGTGGGTTGCAGTAAAGACAAACGTGCACCGTTGCATCAGTTTTTTTCCCCAGAGACTTCCCTCAAATCACACCACTACAGTAATATATACACCAATCAAATGCCTTCAGTCAGAATGCTCTACATACTGTATAGTGCCTGTTGCTTTGCCTGAAAATCCTAACAGTTTATGTCACTGTGGATCTAGGCAGGTGGGGCTGGACTCTTAGACCTGCTTCCCTCAGGGACAGACCATGAGTTATAACATGGTCAATTACTGTGGCTCTGATTTCATCAGTTACCATGGTTCTTCCTCTTCCCCTTCCTCTTTGTCTTCTTGCTCTTCCTCTGCCTCTTGCTGCATCCATTTTTCACTGGCTAAAGCAAAATGCCAATGGAAAATGCCAATCCAAAGATGGCCCCTTTTGTACATATGACAAATTGGCACTAATCACACAAATTCCTAGACAGGTGCTTAGCTGAAATTACAGGCAGGTGTGTGTTTTCATTCAGCTTCAAGCTTTGTAAAATGCTTGGTAGTGATCTAGGGGGATGGTGGTGGTCTAGTGGTTAGGGATCTGGGTCCCTATTACTGTAGGAACACCAGAAGATTGTGAGTTCAATCCCAGGGGGTACCACCATTGTGCCGTTGAGCAAGGCACTTGACCCCAACTTGCTCCAGAGGGACAGTCCCTGTAGTTACTGTACTTTACTATAAGATGCATTTGATAAAAGTTTCTGCTAAATGAATAAATGTAAATATTTTACTGTAATTTATGTGTTGCCATACCCACTGTTTTTGCACAGATTACATTGTGCTGCCTTGCAAAAAGGAAAGGGACATTCCATGGCCTCATTTGTATATATGGTGTAGATGGTAATGAAGCAGCAAACAAAAACAAAATTAGGAAATTTCTGCTAAAAGCACAATTATTTGTGTTAGTGCAAGTGCATAGTGTCCTTTGTCTGTCAAAATGCAGCATATTTCAATTGACAGTGCTTTAAATTTCATTAGGTTTTGACCTGAAAGTTAATTGTTTTGAACAGATTATCTAAACGTCTGAAAAATCGGCTGTAGTTGTACAAAGTTTTGCTGGTGGCGAACACTGACTGAGAGAAGTATTCATGAAATTTGGGAGAAGTGGTGATTGAATGCATATTGTGTCAAAGCAATGCAAACATATACATAGTTTAGCTCACATGGTCCAATGGTATGGTGCATGTGTTAAGTGTTTTGAAAAAGTGGACATGGTATTGAAACACGCGTTAAAATGATTGGAAAAAACTGTAATAAAACAGTAAGGAAAATAATTCTCGGAAAAGGATTGACAGTTTATATTAAATTAATGACCAATCTTTCCCTGTCTCCCTTTATTAAAAATAATTTTTATATAAACCAATAACAAGATTTTTGTCCTATGCAGGAATTACATTGTGGGATCATGATGACCTTCAAAAAGACACAGATGAAAGAATTCAGCCCAAGACAGAATTTAATGTCATTACATCTGATTCTGTAGAGGATAAGGCAAGGGCTTTGGATATTGATGCTTCACTGAAAGCAAGTATCTTAGGGGGACTGGTTGAGGTTTATGGATCTGCCAAATATCTTAAGGACACAAAGGAATCAAAAAAACAGGCACGTGTCACCCTGAAGTATAAAACAACTACAAAGTTCATGCAGCTGTCTATGAGTCACCTTGGACGGGGAAATGTTAAACACCCATATGTGTTTGAGAAGAGAATAGCGACACACGTGGTAACAGCAGTGCTGTACGGTGCTCAGGCATTTTTTGTATTTGATCGAGAAGTTTCAGAAACTGAGGACCAGCAAAACATTGAGGGGAACCTGCAAGTGGCAATAAACAAACTACCATATTTGTCAATCGATGGGAAAGGTTCCTTACAGCTGACAGACACTGACAAAGCTACTGTTGATAAGTTGACTTGTAAATTCTATGGGGACTTTGCCCTGGAACAGAACCCTGTTTCCTTCCAGGATGCTGTAAAAGTATACACAACACTTCCAGATCTGCTGGGTGAAAAGGGGGGAAACGCTGTGCCAGTCAGGGTGTGGTTACTCCCCCTGGAAATCTTAGATTCTTCTGTTGCCAGAATAGTGCGTCAGATCAGTGTCAGATTAATAAATGAAACACAAAGTGTGATAGAGGACTTCAATGAAATAGAAATGCAATGCAATGATATTATGAAACGAAAGATTGTTGCACACTTTCCTGAAATTGGCAAAAAGGTGAAATCCTTCAAGGACACGTGCTTGGAGCATAAATCAGAGTTTCAGAGATCTTTGTCAAGTATTCTACCATTAATTCGTGGAGGTGGAAAAGATGAATGTGTGCTTGCAAACATCCTAACAAAGAAGGAACAGTCTCCTTTCAATAGCAATAAACTTAAGGAATGGCTGGACTACAAAGAGGAAGAAATCAACCTGCTCCAAGTGTACACTGATATGATGGAAGACACAAAAATTGTGGCATCAAATAATGAGCTTGAAAGTGAAATCTTCAAAAACAGAGATAAGAATGTAGTGTGCTTTGCATTTACATCACTGGGTGAGGAGGAGCCGTATCTGTCCTGCTTGCGGAGTCACTTAAAGGCTCTTTCAACTGCAAAGCTAACAGAACCAACAGAGGAAGATGGGAAGGATGTCGAGCCGTGTGAGTTTTACTTCTCAGATGCTGTGTCAGAAAAAATGAAAGAACAAGCAATCCTCTTCATAGATTTTGCAAAGGCAAACAAGGAGAATAAGAAAACACACTTTATAGCTGCATCCATACCTAACGATAAACACAAATGGGCAAGTATTTACCTTTACACAGCAGGAGTCCAAAAAAATGATCACTTTGAACCCCCTTCGAGACCTGTAAAACCAACAGCAACTGACATAAATCATAATAGTGTGACAATAAAGCTGAGTCACCCCCAGTATGGATCCAGTGAAATCACACACTACCTGATTGAATACTGTGCTAATGAGTCAGATGGTTGGATATTTTTGGAGGTTCCCAAATCTAACCTAGAATGTACTGTGTCTGGGCTGCTTCCCCACACCGGCTACAGGTTCAGATACAAGGCAGTGTGTCCAGCAGGTGTCAGTCTAACCAGTGAAGCTGACAGCATTAAAACTTTGCCCACAAGTCCTCCTGGGAAGCCAGAACAAATAGATGTAGATTCAGAGGAGATTATAATTGGTTGGACAAAACCTGATTCAATTGGCCATGGTGTCAACATTGAAAACTATGTTGTTGAATACAGAACTGAAACAAATGAAAATAAGTCAGACTGGAAAAAAAAGACTAGTAATGGTGAAGTCTATAAAATTACTGGGCTACAGCCAGATACAACATATGATGTTAGAATTACATGCAATTGTGGTGAATCTGGTCAAAGTAAAGAAAGTCTGACAGTCTCTGTTTCAACATTGTCAGGAACCACAACACTAGCTGATCAGATAAAAGGAAAGAGTGAATGTCTCAGCAAAGGGTTCCCCTCTGTGTACAAGGTTCCCCTGCAGGAGATACACACAAACTTAGATGGATGCAAAATATATGCTTTTGGCAAAGAGAACATCAGAGAACATCGAACCATTATGGTCATTGGGGCAACAGGAGCAGGAAAATCAACCCTAATAAATGGAATGATCAACTATATTTTGGATGTTAAGTGGGAAGATAATTTCCGATTCAAATTAATTGATGAGGGTCTTTTGAAATCACAAGCAGAGAGCCAAACATCCCTTGTTACTGCCTATGAAATTAATTATCAAGATGGATATACAATAAACTACTCCATCACTATCATCGACACCCCAGGTTTTGGTGACACAAGAGGAATAGAGAGAGACAGAGTCACAGAGCAATCACTGAACAGATCCGAACATTTTTCACCTCTGACAGCGGAATCAGTGATATAGATGCAGTCTGCTTCGTAACTCAGGCTTCACTGGCACGACTAACACATCCACAGAAATATGTGTTTGACTCCATCCTTTCCATTTTTGGTAAAGACATAGCAGACAATATCCAGATGCTTGTGACATTTGCAGATGGACAGAAGCCCCCAGTTCTAGAGGCCATCAACGTGTCTGGTGTACCATGTCCGAGAACAGAAAAAGGGATTCCTGTTCACTTCAAATTCAACAATTCAGCACTGTTTGCAGACAATTCTCATTCAGGAGATACGAAAAATAGTGATGATGAAAATGAGGAAGATAGTGATGACAACTTTGACAAGATGTTCTGGATTATGGGTGTGAAGAGCATGAAGAAGTTTTTTGTTGCCTTAACACATATGGAAACCAAGAGCCTGAAGTTAACCAAGGAAGTCCTCAAAGAACGAAAACAGCTGGAAACTGCAGTCACAGGTCTGCAACCACAGGTCCGAGCTGGTTTGGCTAAACTGGATGAAATCAAAAAGACCCAACAAATAATTCAGAAGCATGAAGCAGAAATAAATACAAACAAAAACTTTGAATTTGAAGTAGAGCTGATGAAGCCAGATCAGGTTAGTATAGAAGGATCTGGAGCGTATATAACCAACTGTCAGCAGTGTTATGTCACCTGCCACTATCCTTGTGCTATTCCAGATGATAAGGATAAGGCTGGTTGTGCTGCCATGGACTCCCAAGGAAACTGCAATGTGTGTTCTGGCAAATGTCCCTGGAATGTGCATTTCAACCAGAAATACAGATGGGAATATAAAAAGGTGACAGAGAAGAGAACATCTGAAGAGCTTAAAGCAAAGTATGAGAAAGCGTCTGGTAAGAAAATGTCAGCTGAAGAAATAATTAAAACACAAGAGGAAGAAATTCTGCGTCTTCAAGATGAAATACTGCAACTAATGGAAACATCACAAAGGTGTTTAGCTCGACTACAGGAAATCGCTTTAAAGTAGTGTTAATTTCGTCACCTATTTTTAATTTAGTCTTAGTCTTAGTCTTGTGCCAAATGTCCTTGTTAGTTTTAGTCATATTTAGTCATTCACATATCTTTTTTTGTTAGTCAAGTTTTAGTCGACTAAAAGTCTCGTCATTTTAGTCTAGTTTTAGTCAAAAGAAAAA